AAAAAAAAAAAAAGAAGAATATGTTTCATCTCCTTCCAGGTTAATGCGAAAGATATAAAGTCTGCATCTTTTTGTGGCTGAATAGTATTCCATGATATACATATACCACAGCTTATTAATCATTCCTGGGTATACATCAGGTTTTTTTGTTTGTTTGTTTGTTTGTTTGTTTGTTTTCTGATTATCTGTTTATCTTTGTGTTTATCTTTCTGATTCTTATCAGAATCATGTGTTCTCATGCTATGTATTTGAGGTTTGTATGAAAATTTAAAGTTTTTATTTCCAGCAGGGTGATTTTTATCTACTACTGTAGAGACTTTCTTCACTCAAGGTCAAGTGTGTAATCTATTTTTTTAATAGGAATACAGGTGGAAATGGTCTTTTTTAAAGGAAGATCTCTTTTATTCTTAATTTGTGGCTAGTAATTAATTTTTAAGGGATTAAAATAGTGTGATGAATGGATGGGTAGGTGGGGGTAATGGCTATAGATGGCTATTTAAACAGAGCCCTCACTGGTCATCTGTTTATGATCCAGAGTTCATTTTTCAGAAATTGTAGCCAAAGACTGCTTTTTGTTTTTCTTAGGAAATCCTCTTTTTGGAAACCATGTGATTGGAAGCAGCAGGTGCTTATGGGACTAAGGCATCCCAGAGAGTATACCTATAGGTTCCCATAAGGATTTACTGGGTAGTTTTTAATAATAACTATAGCAACTAGTATTTCTTGAGCACAGTGCTTGGTATTAAATTCATGTAATCTTCACAACAATCCCCTAGTATTATTCCCATATTACAGAGATAGATCTCACAACAACCCTGTAGTATCATTGACATGTTACAGAGTAGAATCTGAGGCTCAGAGAGGTTGTATTTCTGTTATCACCCCAAAACTCAGTGGCTCAAAATAGCAGTGGTTTATTATTTCTCATGATTCTCTGAGTTGACAAGGAGATTCATCTACTTCACGTGATCTCTCCTAGGGTTACTCATGTGACTTCATTTAGCTGTTAGCCTGGCTGGGAGTAGGATCTCCAAGATGGCCTCATTCACATAACTAAGGTCTTGGTTTGCCTCCATGAAGCCTCTCTCATCATTGGGAGGTTTAGCCTGAACTGCTTTACATAGCACGTAGCTTCCAAGAGGATGAAAGTAGAAGCTGCCAGTCTTGTGATGGCTAGACCCAGAACTGGCAGAGCCATTATTCAAAGCAAGTCATGAGGCTAGCTAGATTCAACAGGAGGAGCAACAGATACCATCTCCTCCCTTTCCTACTTTTTTTGGTAACAACTTTATTGATATATAATTCATATACCATACAATTCACAATTCATCAATTTAATTGTGCGATCCAGTGGTTTTTAGCATATTGACAGTTTTTCAAACATCATGACTGTCAAAATTCCAAAACATTTAAAATTGTTATTATTTTTGTAGAGATGAGGTCTCAAATTTTGGGGCTTACCTGAGCATGGTGTTTCATACCTGTAATTCTAGCTCTCTGGGAGGCTGAGGCAGGAGGATCCTTGAGCTCAGGAGATTGAGACCAGCTGAGCAAGAATGAGACTCTATCTCTACTAAAAATAGATAAAAATTAGCCCAGCATTGTGGCGGGTACCTGTAGGCTCAGCTACCTGGGAGGCTGAGGCCGAAGGATCAATCGAACCCAGGAGATTGAGGTTGCTGTGAGCTAGGTTGATGCCATGGCACTCTAGCCTGGGACCAGAGTGAGACTCTGTCTCAAAAACAAAAACAAAAAAAAAAAAACTAAAACAAAAAAAAACTTTCAGGGTCAAGCAGTCCTCTTACCTTGGCCTCCCAAGTTCTGGGATTATAGGCATGACCTACCACGCCCAACTTTGTAGAACATTTTTATCATGCTGAACAGAAACTTCATTCCCTTTAGCAATCAGTCCTCATTTCCCTCCAGCCTTTCCCCTCCATTAATCTACTTTCTGTCTCTATTGATTTGTCTGCTTTGGACATTTCATTATAAAGGGAGTCATACATATATTTGGTCTTCTGTGACTAGTTTCTTAACTTAGCTTAATGTTTTCAGAGTTCGTCCCTGTGGTAGCATGCATTAGTATTCCTTTCTATTGCCAAATAATATTCCATTGTATGACTGTACCACATTTTATTTATCCATTCACTAGCTGATGGACATGGGGTTGTTTCTACTTTTTGTCTATTATAAACATTTGTGTAAAATAGACTCCATCTTGATCAAAGGACTGGCTTGGTAATACAGGATGAGAGGACTAGTTGGCGACCATCTATAAAGACCACCCGTATTTTACCCTTTGCACTTGATGATGCACGTCTCTCTCTTGTGCAAAATATATCCATCACCTTCCAGGGCCACCAGATGTCTCATTGAATAACTATATCACCTTAAAATCCAGAATGTTATCCTCTCTATAATCTGTATAAAATAAGGCCTCTAGCCTGCCATGCTGGCCCATACAACTTAACTTT